CAGCTGGAAGATCCGTATCAACGCGGCAAAGACCCAGGTCATCATCTTTCCACACTCTAAATCTCCCAGACTTGTTCCGTCGGAGAATAATAAGATCTTCCTGAACGGCTCAGTGGTTCAATGGCCAAAGAGGTACACGGATAGAAATCTCCTTATACCTTTTGGCAAATTTCCATCCCTGATTATTCATAAAATGTATAAGTCAACTAATAAGCAGACGCCTTGCAAAAAGTTAATAAAGATCATGTGTCAAATGAAATGTATAAGCGGTCACACATACCTTTTATGCATTCTAATAGGACCTATGTGGTTTGTCTTATGGAATATATAAGGCTGATGCTTTGGCAAAAATGTATAAGTGAAACACATGAATTAAATAATTGATATTCGTTTCGTGTAGTCTAACTCGGCTTAACAGTAGACAGCAAGCTGATTTTCAGGGAGCACGTTGACAAAACCAAAACCAAGTGATAAGATCATTGTATCCACTCATCGACAGGAGGTCTACCCTGTCCCTGAAAAATAAGCTTGCTGTCTACAAACAAATCATCCTTCCAGTAATAGAATACGGGATGCCACTTTGGGAGAGTTGCGCCAAATGTCATCACCTCAAACTCCAAAGGATCCAAAACAAGATCCTTAGGATGATCCTTAACAGTCCCCTGCGGACTAGGAATTCTGAGGTCCACCGCCGGGCTGGTCTTCAGACACTGGAGTTACGGAGAGCTGACTCCATCGCAAGGTTCAGAGATTGCTGTAGGCGATCCGATCAACAGATCGTCGGGGATCTGGCACGTTAGGTTAAGTTAGGTTAAGTAGGTAGAATAACAAATTAAAACATTCAAACAACATACTTCACAAGAAGAAAGTTGAAAAACATTACACAGTAAAACACAACACGTACAACACAAAATCAAAAAGTTCACCAAAGATGAAGAGCCCTTCTGGCTAACCTCTTGCCCTGCATTAGCAGTTGTAAACCACATAACAAATCAAAATAAAGAAGAATTTACTACTACTATGTTCGACAGACTCAACAAAATGTAATATGATGTCTAGATGTATTATACGAATCTGACATCTCATCAAGTCTATGCACATCCATGAAGATGAGTGAGAACGATTTGAAATTAGGGGTTATGTGAAATTATTGAAAGAGGAAAGTCTTTTGCGCAGAGGGGTTGACAACATCGAGTGATTACTGTATTAACAAAATATGTCCCTTTATCCAAATTGTGCTGGAGTTCAGATCTTGATGATCCTATGAGTTATCAAGGTATTGTATGATGTCTCGACTAAATTGGTGAAATCAATAAAAAAAAATGAGGAGCCCCATTACATCGTGCGGAATAAGGGGGTCTCCAAATATCCTGAGGATTGGGTCTTGATGTTCTACAGGCTCAACAGAATGTTGTGTGATATCCAGATGTATTTCCATGAGGCTCCGTGGGACTTCATCACATCAAGATGTATTAACAAAATAGGCTCCATTCTTCAAATTGCCCTGGAGTTGTCCACGCTGTCTTGACTAAATTTTGACGTAGGACTACGCCTGTGATTTCTATATGGGGGTACACTTTGTGAAAACCGAAAATGAAACATGTAACAAAATTATGAAAGAGTTTGAACGTTAATAACTCAGCTGCCCCTGGACCAATTGCAATATTTTTATCACCAATCGATTAGAAATATTTCTAAGCATCTGTTTAATTTATGAATTTATCATTTTTTGAAATTTCCAAGTGAAAATTGCACGAATGTGCAACTGTTGCTATGATAATTAAAATTATCACCGATTGCCTGCGAAAAGCGATTTCCCTAACACAGATTTCAAAGTTGAATTCCATTCGGTCCCACCAAACGGTGTTTATTCAATCACCATGTGGCGAGTGGTGGTGTTCTCCAGTACACAACGAAAAGCTGCCTGCAAGCAGCGAGCTGCAGCCAACATGAGCATCCATAGAAAGAAGAAGAAGCTGCACCGCTTTTGGTCGGAATCAGTAGCTCTTCGTGAGTCGCTGTTGGCCATCTATGTCAAGCGCGTCATACTACATAAAGAGTATAATCAGAGAGGACCCCGCTCAAATTCCAATCCCCACACAAAACACAAGATCCTGCTCCAGTTAACAAATAAGATTTATTATATAAGATCACGTAGTTCTACGTCACCATTGCTTAAAACCCCATAGGGCTGTCCCTTGTAGTTTTGAAGTCAAAACAATTCGAGGAGCCCCATTACATCATGCGGAGTATGTTGTTTTAATGACACAATATTTTATAATCTCCAAGTTATACTGAGGATTGAGTCGTGATGTTCTACAGATTGGATCTTGATAATTCCACAATATTTTGAAGCTTTAGAATATCCTTCGTATGTTAGCAGTCTGCATTGACAACAATATGTCATGCATGATATAATAATTTCTCACATTGCTCTACAAACTCGAATGATCCGTTGAAACGTCATACAAGACTTCGATGATGAGCCTGTCGAGCATCAAGATCTTACAGAAATCCTTCGAATAGCGCGGTGGATGATACTCTCCAGCCACCGCTATTTCACGGGTGTCCTCCATCAGATTGAGCGGATATTATGTATTTGATAAGAACCAACCATGAACTTGTCATCTACAGGAAATCAGATCAATTGGTTGGAAAACAGTCGATAAATTAAGGTGCATGGACGACAAAATCCACCGTGGTTTTCAGGGGATTCCTATATATTCAAGATTCGGTAACCTTTTTTTTTTGATAAAACTATATATTCTTAATGATGCAATAAAATTCGAAAAAAATAGTATGGCATCAACCAGTCAATCGAAACAACGTGAAAGACGTCAGTAAGCTTCTTGATATGATATGTATAATATGATGTTGGTCCTCCAACTAAAATATTTTTTTAAATACAGGTCCACGATGCTACATGAATTCGTATAATAATTCAGGATATTGTTCAAGACTTATTTTGTCGTATAAAACATGAATATCTACACTTTCGGATATTTTGGAGTTTTCAAAATACTTTGTCATTTCATCCATAAATCTTACATGTATAGGTATATCACTAGGCTCTAATCTAAGAATGCAAACATTTAGTCGGAAAGTCGTACAATATCCCGTATAGTCTGTAGAATCGAAACATCTGAACTCCAAGATAATTTGGAGAATGCGTGGTGCGATGAGGTCCCAAGTAGCTCCATGGATTCAAATAATAAGTCAGGACATCCTACAAGACTTTGGTTGTGCCTGTAGAACATCAAGATCTAATCTTTTGGATGATTTGGAGGACTAGAGAAATTTGGTCATTTCAACTATGTATCCTATACGATATAACAATGCTACACGAGACTCTACAATCGTCAAAATTAAGTCTGAACATCGTATAAAATCTCGTTGAGTCTATGGAACATCGAGATCTGAACTTCAGGGTGATTTGGAGAATCTTTAATATTTTGTTAACACAAACATATATCTCAACTGATGTCATGAGCTCTTACAAAGCTCTTTGGAGTCGTACATTTAGTCGGGACATTGAGAAATTCTTAATTGAGTATGTAGAACTTCAAGATCAATTCTTCAGAGTGATTTGAAGGTCGTATTTCCACGTATATGCTGTTTTCGATTTCATATGGTGTCTTTCGACTCTGCGAGGTTTCTGAACACAAATCTATGGATAACATCTCCTTTTAATCTCTGTTGATCCTTTGAAGATAAAGGTCTAAATTCCAGAATAATCTGGATGGCCAAGATCATCAGAAAAAAATAGATTTCTGGTATTTAATGCTATTCTGAATTCTTACAAAAAGCATCAAAAAATTAGCCTCAAAAAAATCAGGACTGAAACGGTTAAGATTCTCTTATGAACTTCCTCTGGACTGACCGTCTCCAGCAACCGTTAGTAAATACAACTGGGTGTGGATGAGAAGTCCATTGCTCCCGTCCCTTGCGAAACTGATCTAGAGAAGTCCACTGCAGCCCCAGATAAGTTAAAAGTGCACTGGATTGATCCTCAAATCCACCAACAACATTCTACCGAACTTACCTTGAACTCATGCAGACTGTTTAAAACATTAAACACATTCCACTGCATGCCATTTCTCCTTCGGTGCACATCTAAACCAACAGGACACATCTCTCATCCTGCACACTAAACAAAACGTGACAACCGTCACCATACCGCCCGGGACATCCTGCACAAGCACCCACTTCAGGAAGCAATATATTGAAAAGCAAAATTATTATTCCATCCGTAATCTCCGTCATTTCCCGGGGCTCAGCTTCCCTTGCGTACGTGGGAGCCTCTTGTGTCGGTTGTGTCATTTGTCGGATTAAAACCGGATTTCAATAGGCTTCAAGATCGAATGTCACCCCGGACCCGTGGCCGATCCCTACCGGGTTTTCCACACATGATGATGATCCCACCCCGAAGAACCGAGACCTCAAGGATAATCCGGAATTAATGAATCTTTTTCCGCACAATATTCCTCTCATCAGCACTTGATTTCTCATTTATGCCAAGTCTCTTCAAACTTGGGATCGGCCAGGGGTGGGCCAAGGGATTGTGGAAATGCTGTGAATGCTAAAAACCGGAAACGTGTGTGCGTGTGTAGATGACAGCGGCAAACAGCTGCCTATTTTCCCTTCCACGGGGTGATCGCTTTGTGGAAAACGGAAAAACCAGTCGTGCGTAGAAACTGATGAATTTGCAAATTTTCACACAATCGTCTCGAAATTGGTTTTCCAATAAGTGTCTCTATGTGTGTGTGTGTGTGTGTTTGTATCCGGTCGGTACACCTACATGTTGGTTGAGTGGGTCGTATCGCTTCGGCGAACTCGGTTGTTGAGGCTGGGTGGTGGTCGGGTGGAAAGTTGAATGTAAATCTTGGGCTGCATGGTCCCACTATCTCTGGTCCCGCAGCGCTCACACACACAAATATTTACTTTCCAATTGGAAATTCTAATAACGTTCTCCTTTTTTTTCGTCTTTCTTCTTGTTGTAGGTTTCTCCCGCACATCAGACACGGAATTCGGAACCCGGAGGAGCATTTCGTGAAGTGTGGTGCTAGGCAAGTGGTGGAACAGTGCTCGTGCTTCGAAGAAAACCGACGGGCTGCACATACATGTGATAAAGCATTCTGACTTCCTCCAACGACAACGGCAGCTGGAATTTCGATGAGGTGAGTTTTCTGTGTGGAACAGCAGTTCGGATTTCGTGGAAGAATGAGCACGGAAATTAAAGCATAAGATTCCTATTTTTAATATGAGTTCATGGAACATGGGATTTCTCGGGTGTAGGGTTGATTGATGAGGGGAAAATGTATCGCACCGAACAATTGTGGGTAACGTTTGGAAGGGAAATAGCAATCACATCAGTGAGTTTCCGGTCAAGTAATCATAAATTGAAAATTGAAAATACGAATTCAATACAAGTGAAAAATCCATGAATCATTTAAACCAGCGGTTCTCACACATTGGTTGATTGCAAGCTATTCTGTAAAATAATCCAAACTCGATTGCGCTTTTCCAATGAAAATTGCGCTGCTCGTAATCCAGGTTTGACTGCGCTCTTCCAATTAAAACATGACTTCACTTCTCATAATCTACATTTGATTGCGAATTTCCAAGTAAAATTTGACTTTGCATCTTGTAATCCAAATTCGATTGCGAATTTACAAGTTTGACTTCGCTTTTCATAATCCAAATTCGATTGCGTTTTTCCAAGTAAAATTTGTCTTCGCTTCTCATGATTCAAATTCCACTGCGCATTTTCAAGTTGAAATTTGACTTCACTTCTCGTAATCCAAATTCCATTACGCTTTTCCAAGCACTAGCGTGCACAGGAATCTTGTTAAGGAGGGACAATTTTTTTCTATGGTGCATTTAATCTGGGGATGGGGAGTACTCCAAAGTGCGTGGTCCACCCACCACTGTTTCCCTACTGTTCAATTTAGCTAATTTAATTTAGTAGAACAACAATAGACCAAGGTTCAATGGAAAACTAATACCCACTTTTCAATTAGGGAATCCAAAAGCTGTCTTTAAACTTTATACAGTTGCGAAAAAGACTCTATGAGGTCTATTGAAATTCTTCTAAGAAGTTCTCTGGAATTATTTTTAGAACTCTTCTTGACTTTTACTCAGAACGCCTTACAACTGAAATTCCCTTAGAGTTTCAGAAGAATTTCCTCAGTTTTATCCATAAATTATTCCCGGAATGAGCTAGAAATTACCGGTACTCCCTGAAAATTTTCCTCAAAATCCCTTTGGAATTTCACTCAAAATTCAATTTGCTCGGTATTCTTTTCGGAATTATCTTGGAACTATCTGCAGGATTTACTAGAAATTATTCGCAGAATTTTCTTGAAATACTCCCCAGAAATCCTTTGGAACTGTCCTCAGAATTCAATATTCTTAAGGTTCTTTAGAACTATCCTAAAAGCTCTTTTGAAAAATCATTTCAGAAGTCCACTAAAATTATTCCTTTAGATTATTCAAAATTTGATTCTCTCGGTATTCTTTTGGAAATTATCTTGGAACTATCTGCAGGATGCACTAGAAATTATTCGCATAATTTTCATGGAATTATCCCCAGAAATCATTTTTTTTTGGAACAGTCCTCAGAATTCAATACCCTTGAGGTTCTTCTCGCAAGTCAAGTTTAAGTTGTCCACCCATTCACCAAAACGTTGTAGTTTTTCTACCAGAAATATTTAATAAAGCTTGCCCCTGCACTCAACAGAACTGTGCATTTTTTACATCAGGAATTTCCAATACAGACTTGCCCGCAGGTAATTTTAGACCAAAAATTGTAATTGACCAGAATGGTGTAAATTTTCCACCGTTAATGTTCCATAAAGATTGTTTATCCAATCTTCTGATTCGTGCAGATTTCCTTTTTCCATTTTCTACCAGACATTTTCAATATAGCTGGCTTCTCCTATCATCAGAATGTTGCAGGTTTTCCACCAAATAAAGCTTGCCTCTATTTTCGGATTTTTCATAAATTTTCAATAAAGCAGCTTCCCTCCAATCATCAGAATGTTGCAAATTTTACACCAGAAATTTTTCCGAAAAGCTTGCCTATCCGTTCACCAGAACGGTGCAGATTTTCCACCAGAAATTTTCAATAAAGCTTAATTTTAAATAAAGCTTGTGCCTTCATTTACGAGACCAGTGCAAGTTTTCCACCAGAAATTTTCTGCTCATTTCATATATCAGAGCGATGTAAATTTTTCACCAGAAATTTTCAATAAAGCATGGTCCTCCATTCACCAGAACGGTGCACCAAAAATGGTCAGTGAAGTTTGTTTAACCATGCACCTTTGTGGTGCGATTTTCAGGCTTTGCCTCTTCATGCACCAGAATGGTGCAAATCTTGCAAGTTAAATTTGGATTTTCGTAATCCAAATTCAATTGCGCTTTTCCAAGTCAAATTTGACTTCACTTCTCGTAATCCAAATTCGATTGAGCATTTCCAAGTAAAATTTGAATTCGCCTCTCCTAACTCAAATTCGATTGCGCTTCTGCAATCCAAATTGCACTGCTTGTAATCCAAATTCTATTGTGCCTTCTAGTAAAATTTGAATTTGCTTCTCGTAATCCAAATTTGTTTGCGCATTTTCAAATAAAATTTGACTTCCCCTCTCGCAATCCAAATTCAACTGCGTTTTTCCAAGTAAAATTCAGCTTCGCTTCACGTAATCCAAATTCGATTGCGCATATCCAAGCTTGACTTCACTTCTCGTAATCCAAATTTGATTGCGCTGTTCCATGTAAAATTTGACTTTCGTTCTCGTAATCCAAATTCGATCGCACTTTTCCAAGAAAAATTTGACTTCACTTCACGTAATCCAAATTCGATTGCGCTTTTCCAAGTTTGACTTCGCTTCTTGTAATCCAAATTTGACTGCGCATTTTCCAGTTTGACTTTGCTTCTCGTAATCATACTTCGAATGGGCTTTTCCATGTAAAATTTGACTTCCCTTCTCGTAATCCAAATTCGATTGCGCATTTCCAAGTAAAATTTTACTTCGCCTCTCCTAATTTAAATTCGATTGCACTTTTGCAATCCAAATTGCACCTCGTAATCCAAATTCGATTGCGCTTTCCTAGTAAAATTTGAATTCGCTTCTCGTAAGCCAAATTCGTTTACGCATTTCCAAATAAAATTTGACTTCGCCTCTCGTAATCCAAGTTCAACTGCGCTTTTCCAAGTAAAATTCAATTCCAAGCTTGACTTCCCTTCTCGTTATCCAAATTTGATTGCACTTTTTCAAGTAAAATTTTACTTTACTTCTCGTAATCCAAATTCGATTGCGCATTTCCAAGCTTGACTTCACTTTTCATAATCCAAATTCGATTGCACTTTTCGAAGTTTGACTGCACTTCTCGTAATCATACTTCGAATGGGCTTTTTTATATAAATTTTGACTTCGCTTCTCGTAATCCAAATTCAATTGCAGTTTTCCATGTAAAATTTGGCTTCATATCTCGTAATCCAAATTCTACTGCGCTCTTCCAAGTGTAATTTAACTTCGCTTCTTCTAATCCAAATTCGATTTCACTTTTCCAAGTAAAATTTGACGTTTCTCGAATACAAATTCGATTACACATTGCCTAGTAAAATTTGACTTCGCTTCTCGTAATTCAAATTCAATTGCGCTTTACAATGTAAAATTTGACCTCGTAATCCAAATTCGATTGCGCTTTTCCAATCCAAATTGCGCTGCTCGTAATCCAAATGCAACTATGCTTTTCCAAATAAAATTTTACATCGTTGCTCGTTATCCAAACTCGATTGCGTTATCCATGCAAAATTTGACTTCGCTTCACGTAAACCAAATTCGAATGCCCCCTTCCAACTAAACGATGACTTCGCTTGTTGTAATGCAAATCAAATTGCGCTTTTTTAAGTAAAATTTGACTTCACTTCTCGTAATCCAAATTCGATTGAACTTTTCCAAATAAAATGTGTAGCTTCTCGTATCCTAATCCAAATTCAACTGCGGTGACTTTAATTATCCTAATACAAATTCAACTGCGCTCCTCCAAGTAAAACTTCACATCGCTTTTCGTCATCCAAGACCCATTGTGCAATTCCAAGTAAAATTTGACTTCTCTTCTCGTAATTCAAATCCGATTTCGATTTTGCAAGTTAAATTTGGATTGTCGTAATCCAAATTCAACTGCGCTTTTCCAAGTAAAATTCATCTTCGCTTCTCGTAATCCAAATTCGATTGCGCATTTCCAAGCTTGACCTCACTTCTCGTAATCCAAATTTGATTGCACTTTTCCAAGTCAAATTTGACTTCGCTTTTCGTAATCCAAATTCTATTCCGCAATTCCAAGCTTGACTTCACTTTTCGTAATCCAAATTCTATTGCGCTTTTCCAAGTTTGACTTCGCTTTTCGTAATCATACTTCGAATGGAATTTTCCATATAAATTTTGACTTCGCTTTCCAAGTAAAATTTTACTTCACATCTCGTAATCCAAATCCTACTGCGCTTTTCTGAGTATAATTTGACTTCGATTCTCGTAATCCAAATTCGGTTTCACTTTTCTAAGTAAAATTTGACGCTTCTCGTAATCCAAATTCGATTGCTCATTTCCAAGTTATATTTGACACTTCTCGTAATCCAAATTCGATTGCGCTTTTCCAATCCAAATTGCGCTGCTCGTAGTCCAAATGCGACTACCCTTGTCCAAGTAAAATTTGGCATCGCTTCTCGTTATCCAAACTCGATTGCGTTTTCCATGCAAAATTTGACTTCACTTCTAGTAACCCAAATTGGATTGCGCCTTTCCAAGTTTGACTTCGCTTCTTGTAGTCCAAATTCGACTGCACTTTACGTAGTAAAATTTGGCTTCACTTCACGTAATCCAAATTCGAATGCCCCCTTCCAAGTAAACGATTACTTCGCTTGTTGTAATCCAAATTCGATTGCGCTTTTAAAAGTAAAATTTGACTCCACTTCTCGTTATCCAAATTCGATTGCACTTTTCCAAATAAAATTTGTAGCGTCCCGTATTCCAAATTCGATTGCGTTTTTCCAAGTAAAACTTGACTCCACTTCTTATAATCCAAATTCGATTGCGCTTGTCTAAATTTGACTTTTTTTTTCTCGTAATCCAAATTCGATTGCGATTTTCCAAGTTAAATTTGACTTCGTAATCCA